CCCCCCCCCTCTCGCCCTGTCCTTAAAGCGTGACAAGGCCCCATCTCAAGCAGGATCATACTGACAGGTGCGGCGCCCGCGACAGAGGTGCGAGCGAGACACCCGGTCCGCGAAAGAATCCCCCCAGGGCCACGGCCCCACGGGCGTGCGCTCCGCGATCGAGACGGCCGGGGTCGCGGATCCGTGGGCGGCGGTCCCGTTCGGCAGCTCGGCGAAGCGCGCACTGGGGGAGCGAGAGAAGGATGAAGATGATCTAGCCCAGGCGTGTCGGGAGAAGCATCTCAGCAACGAGAACGACGACGGGGACGGGGACGGGGACGACGACCGAGAGATGGGGAGCGCTGGCGCCGGAGGTGGAGCGCGGAGCGGACCTAAGCGTCGGGGTCGGGGCCGCGGCGTCACGAAGGGCCTGGGGGCGACGGGTGCAGGCCAGAGTAGCCGTCGCTCGGGACCACGCCGATACCCGCCCGTTGCGCCGAAGCCTGCTCGCTGGGGCCGGCTTGGATATGGGAGCTGTGAAGGAGGCTTCGCGGGTCGGCTGTTTATGCGTGCTGATCAAAAGTATGGAGGTCAGCTGAGCTATGGAGGGGACTTCGCGGGTCAGCTGTTTATGCATGCTGGTCATTACTACGAAGTTCAGCAGAGCTATGGAGGATACTCCCCGGGACCTCACTATATGGACGGTGGTCAAAACTACGAAGTTCGGCAGAGCTGTGGAGGGGACTTCTCGGGTCAGCAATCCATGCATGCTGGTCAAAACCATGGAGTTCAGCAGAGCTATGGAGGAGGCATCCCAGGACCTCAATCGGAAATGGATGTCGATCAGCGCTCTGAGGGTGCAGAGATTGCTGAGGGAGGCTCTGGGGAAGAGGACGGAGCGGTAACGATGGTCGGAGAAGAGCCAACGGAGGGTTTGAGAAGCTATCCGAAGAAGATCAAGTGGAAGGTTCAGGGGGCTGCATTGATGGGGATCAAGATGGCGGCTCAAGATCAGATTGAGGGCGAGGGTGGGCAGGCCGGTGGTGGACTTGAGAAGGGGGTTTCAAAGAAGAGAGTGGCGACGAGAGTGTTTGAGAAGGGAATGGTGGAGAGGGGAGTAGTCAAGAGGGGAGCGGTGAATAAGGGAGTGGTGAAGAAGGAAGAGGTGGAGAAGGGAGTAGTGAAGAAGAGAGTGGTGAAGAAGACATTGAAGGCTTCTCAGTAAGAAAACTATCCATCACAGGTTACCGATGATGGTTCTCCCTGTCTGGGCATGTATTTTGTTATCGCTGTCCCTCGTAGCGCCAAGAATGCATTACAAAACCATACAACTGCGACTCATGGAGTGGTACCTCACACCATCTCCTGAATTCGATACCTGTACCTCCATGACCGAAGACGTCACCCGAAGTTTAAGATCATCCTGAAAGGCCTCACAGCAAACACGATGAGCTTCCGGCCCACTCCGGGCTTTCCCATTCCGGGGTCCCGGCCGGAAAGACTTTGTACAGTGGTAATCCCAGGTATAGATAGATCATTTGTGCGTGGCACGGATCGAGTATGAGAATCACCTAACGTCCAGGCTGTCTCGACTCGGTCCATTCTCTTATCATATAGCACATCGGCAGAGTTCGAGGAAATAGATAATGACCAGTCGCCCAAAACGAAGACCCTGAGACCCTGGCTCGCTCTGTGTGTTGTGCCGAGTGTGAAAACGGAAGGAACGTCAGAGAACCCCGGTGTTTCTAGCGCGTTTCACGCCCGCGATCTGTGCCTCTGTGTTTTCGTAAAGATTTACTCAGATATCAGGCTTTGAACCGGCGTGCAGATGGGCGCCCACTTCAGGTACCTTTTGACACAGACTTAAATGTCACGTTTGAAAAATCGGCTTCGTTACATATTTCTGCAGTTGTCGGGAATTTCCCCAGGTGCGTCTTGACACTAGATAGAGCCGGCGAATTTCTGCACGGTATAGATCACAATGTATCCGTCGATCCCCTTTTGACTATGCACAGCATGAGTCGTAGAGGGATTAGTAAGAGCTGAAGCGAGTACGAATTCCACTTGAGGATATGGACATCAACACAGTACATTGCCAATCGTCGTTGGATAATGATTTCAAGGTCTTGATTTTTCCTATACGGCGTAGGTGGCCCGCTACGCGATATGGCAATACTAGGTGTCGGTAGGAAGATAACCTGCCGTCTTCAGTCCTGCACGCTGACCGTGCAGATGCAGATTCGTGATTAGTCAGTCATCTCATCCAGTGACTGGACGACGTCACAACTACCTAATCATCGACATACTACATATAAGACTAGGAACTCTGCAATTGATCTTCCAACCGTGTTTTGCTCTCTTTACGTCGACAACGTGAATCATATTCCTAGAGGCCTCGACGTCGAGATGGCCCCCGCAGCGAATTCAGCGATCGAATCGACTAATCGACCCGACGAGTGGAAGATTGAGCAGGGCATCAATGGAGCTAAGCTGCCGTTCTTGGATCAGACTGGCACCGAGACTGTCAAGATCCAACCTCACGTGTGGGGAGAATTGACCAAAGATCAAGCAGCAATCGATGCCGTCGGGAATCGCGATGAACTCTTCAGGCGGGAGCGTGAGGGCTGGAAAGGGTGAGTCGTGGTGCTGTCTTGATGTCGCCAGCATGCGCATACTGATCCTCGGGTCAGATATGTGGAGTGGGAAGACTGCCCCGAGAAGAGAGAAAAAGCACACAGGATCTTGACGTCCCAGACATTCCCGCCCAATCCTGAATACCAGATGGGGCCAATCCCTGATACCAATCCCGTGCTGCCGGGGGACGACTACAAAGCGTGGCATGCGGCGATTGGTGGTGAGCTTACCACCGCTGCCGACGATTCTTGGGCGAAAGTCCTCGAGGAGAAGCATCCAGATATGCTTCACCTGTTGCAATTCCCATACAACGGCGAGCCACCCAAAAGACTCACCGCATCAAAGCCAGTCACGCCCAATCCGCTCCACTTCGTTCGCAACCATGGAGGAATCCCCATCATTGACAAAGAGAAGTTCACCTTCGAGCTTGATGGTCTGGTAGCAAACCCAAAGACGTACACTTTAGACGATCTCATGGACGAGTCGAATTTCCCGCGCATGGAGAGACTGATTACGATGCAGTGCTCGGGCACTCGCCGCATTGAGCAGATCACCCTGTACGCCGGACAGGGCGACGAAGTCCCACAGGCTCCGTGGGCGGAAGGCGCCATCGGGACCGCGAAGTACGTGGGCATCAGCTTGAAGAAGCTGATCAAGGATTGTGGCGGCCTTATCAACGGCGCTAAACATCTGGAGTTCTACGGGGCGGATACCTACTTCAAAGCTCACCAGGCAATGAATTACGTGGTTAGCGTGCCTTGGTCGAAGGTCAAGGCCAACGAGGTGATGCTGGCTTGGGAGATGAACGGCGAGCCCCTGCCCAAGATTCACGGATATCCGCTCCGGGTCGTGGTGATGGGCTATATCGGTGCCCGGAGCGTGAAGTGGCTGTACCGCATCAAAGCCATCGACGGTCCGTCTCTCGCACCCGTGCAGAGCAAGGAGTATCTGTACTTCAACCAGCAAGTCGGTAAGCACAACCAGCGACCCACCGACGGGATCCAGATCCAAGAGATGCCCGTCTCCTCCGCCATCCTGTCGCCGTGGAACAAGCAGGTCGTTATCCACAACGGCTCCATCAAATGCAAGGGCTGGGCCTACTCTGGTGGTGGCCGGTGGCCGGAACGGGTCGAGCTTTCCGCCGATGGTGGGTTCAGCTGGTATGCCGTCCCCGTTGATCAGATGTCCAAGAAACACAAGTGGACGTGGCGAACCTGGGAGTTCGACCTGCCATGCGACGTGGAAGGTTGGATTGAGGTCGTCTGTCGCTGCTGGGACAACTCGCTTAACACTCAACCCCTGACTGTACGAGCGGCGTGGAACTGGGGGCTTCACGTCACTAGCTCAGCCCACCGCATCAGCCTTTACAGTATGAACAAGAGTCGGCCTATGACGAAGGCGAGGCTCGAGATGTTTGAGAAGACGGGGAGTCCGCTGGCGCCGCTGAGCTACCCAGAAGACTTCGTGACGCAGGAATTGGATGAGTATAGCAAGTTCTGGAGGGTGAATGATCCAAGAGATGTCGATGACTAGGCTTGTGGTGCTTTTTAGCGATTCTTGGTCTGTGCTTGGCTCTCGGCGTTGATTACTCTGTTATGTTCAATCTCCTTGGAGTGATGACTCTTTACGGATCCGAGTTATCTATTACTTGAATATTGCAACTAGCCCAGTCGGCACATCTTCATATTCTCTGAATAACGGATCTGGATATTTAGACTCCGAACTCTCTGATCCCAACCCTAATCTCCGTGATCCACACACGCTCTTCTATTGTTAACAGGCTAGAGGCCTGAACCGACACCTTCTACACTCTTGGTTTTATGGTTGAGGGAGTTAGCTCGCAGATCCATCTAATAAGGTCAATATAATAATGATAACAAAACTTGGAACCTGTTAAAGAAAAAAGGTTTGAAAAATTACGATATGCAACATAGTAAGTGGTTCTATCTTAGTTGATGAGTGATATATATGACAGTGAATTTATTTCCAACTGGATTTTACCTCGCCTACAATCTTCCCTTCCCTCCTCTTCCACGAATCTTGATCTAATCTAGCTCATCGTGGTTCCTACGTGCTATATGTCACTTACTGCATTATTTACGAGATACAAATCGTCACACACGAGAGACTTGAGATTGGTTCGGTTGTGCTTCATCGCATGGCATCCATACAACCATACCATGCATTTTGACACCCCTAGAACCTTAACACAGCCAAAGAGTCTCTCGCATTTCACCCGCCGATAAACAAGATCACAACGCACTCGATATCCATACGCACAGTCCCAATCCCAACACCCAAACCGAGCGCCTACACGAAATAGTGTTGCCAGTCCCGATACCCCTCCAGCGTGCCATAGATCTGGAACCAGAACCTCCGGCTGCTGATGACCCTGAGGATGAGCCGATCGGGAAACCACAGCTCGCCATCGGCCTGCACGTAGAAGAACTGATGCTGGCCGCTCTGATCGGCGTGGGCATGCCGGACCCAGCCGTCGGGGACGTCGGGCGATCGCTTCGGCAGAGGCCCGCCGTACACGTACTTCCCCGGCGTGCTGTGCCGCGGGTCAGGATAGTAGGGGCCATGCAGCGTGGCAAAGGCCGAGTCGTCAGGACCCGTGAGCGCGTAGTCCCCCGTGTCGAGCGGCAGCCGGGGCCGGCGACGGCGGCGGTGGCGGTGGCGGTGGCGGTCGCGGCTCCCCATATCCTCATCCAGATTCATATTCGTGCCCAAGCCCGAGTCCGGGTCCGGGTCCACCAGCCCGCGAGCCATCGTGCCGGCCGCCGCAGACTCATCCTCGCAGCGAAAGGAATACAGGTAGAGCCCGGCCCGACCCTCAGCGAGAAGCCGATGCGTGACGAAGGGTGCGCCGCTGGCACACCGATAGCCTCCATCCCGACTTACACGGTGCCAGCCCCGGTTCGCGGGACAGTGCGCCATCGTCGCTACCATTTGGGCAGCCCGCCGCTCCGGCGCCGTGTGTTCCTTCGGAGCTATCGTGCGGGCGATCGGGAGCTGCCGCGCAGCAGCCACCTCCGCATTCTCGGTCGTCGGGAGCACGCTCTTGGCCCCCGGCGGCGCTATCCTGACCTCCTCATAAGGCGTCTCCTGGGATACCCGGGGGGTGGTGTCGGTGAATGTGCTCCAGTCGGGCTCGGGGACATCCTCGTCGTCGTCCTCGTCGATCGTCTTTGGCGGCTTTGGCTTGGCGGCGGCAGGGACAGGGTCGTCGCGGAACGCTCTTGAGGGTGGCATGATGGATGCCGGGGCCTTGCTGCTGCTTGGCTTTGTGTGGAAGGAGGAGGAGAAGGAGGCGCTTTGATTGTCCGCGTCTCTGGCACTCGACGGTAATCTAGAGGGGAACGGCGACTTGGGCTTCTTCCGCTCCCTGTCCTTTGATGTGAAAGATGAGGAAGCCATGGTAAGAGAGAGGCGAGGGCTATTGTTCTTCGTTTGTGGGTGGAGGTGTATGGTGTGATGGTGAAGAGGGTAAAAGCTGTGAATGGATCGGAAGCTGATGAGAAAAAAAAAATGTTGCAACCCTCAGTAGGTCTAGGAGATATAGTGAGACAGATGAGTAAAGAGAGCATAGAGAACATTCACGACTCGAATTTTGTGAATCAAGATAGTTTGATGGCAGCTGGCGCTGAGTGATAGCTACAAAGCCATATGTGAAGCCAGCTTATGTAGCGCATTGGGGCAATTATGGAAGCCTGTTAATAACATCGCTTCTCTCAAAGTGAAATGGACACGAGAAAATAATAACAAAGCTCGCTCAATATGAACTACTAATGCCAATAATGTCCGCTATCATAGTTCTTCACAACAGACCGAGACAACATAGCTCCGCTGATTCTGTCGTAGTAGACGCCAAGCAAGTATTCAGAGCCCCTCGATATAAGCTTCCCTCTTTCTTAGACCGTTCAACATCCGAACAAGAATTAGAATACCATGCTCTAAGAGACTAGAAGCTCGAGACTGTACCCAGAAAGAAGTGGTCTCCTTCAAAAAGGGCTGGGCAAAATATAACAAACGTCGCCAAAGTGGCAAGCTATAAAAAAAAAAAAAAAAATTGCACCGGAAGGTGAAAACTGCCAACGATAGAATAACATATTCACGCGCGAAAAATTTCCGAAGCTCAAGAAAGTCTCTTCCCGCGGCCGAAATTGGATTTGGCGAAATGGCATTTAGTAGAGCAGCATAATCTCAAGTCCGCAAGCCACACTAGACGGAAGCACGGATAGCAAGTACATGTTTCTCGACTCTCAGAAGCCACCATTGTGCGGTTGGATCTTGAGCAAGGAGCCGACGAGAATGGGGATTGGAACATAGCCTGGAAGCCAACGATGAATTCTCGGTTTAGGAATTCGTAGCCCTGCGTTCGCTGACTGTCTGATGAGCCTCTCTGGGATCCAGCCGGCATTCTTTTCAATCCCGCAAAGCAAGGTGCGAACGAGAGCAGCTTTGCCTTATTGAATAGTACGTGACAGCCTTCCCCAGCTGGATATTATTAGTGCAATAGGGAGGGCTCGTTTCGCTGCTGAGAATTGCCTTGGTGAATACTCGGCTCGCTTAGCTATTGTAGAGCCGTGACAATAGCAAGCGAGCTTGTCCTCGGAAACCTAACGACGACAATGGTAATCGCATCTTATTGTCGTGATTAGCTCAATTGGGGAGACAGGGAGGGAACTACAGGAACTCAGCTTCTCTCATTTTTCTTTCCAATCTCTTCTGAATTCTCTTCACAGCTACAGAGAACCCAACAGCAACAGCAACAGCAACAGCCACAACACAACATCTACAACCACAACATGGGCAACCAAGCCAGCACCCAGAGCCAACAACCACAACACAGCAACCCCAACCATAACATGGGCAACCAAGCCAGCACCCAGAACCAACAGCCACAACCACAACACAACCTGGGCAACCAAGCCAGCACCCAGCAGTGGCACGACGACCCCATGGACTGGGAGTTCTGCGAGGCCCCTTTCCTCGTAAGTCATCTCACTCCATCCCATCCCATCCCATCTCATCCCCTCCCTCCCTCCCTCCCTTCAAAGAAACATCGAACTCGCTCGAACTGAACCAGTCGAAAAACCACCAGTCAATCTGCTGCTGGCTGAGCTTCAGCCACCTCCGGTACCCCTTGCTCCCGGACCCGGAGTGGGAGCACTTCTCGTGGCCCGGCGACTCCCAGTACCCGGATCCGCCCAGCCCCTTCTGGGGCGGGAAGACGGCAGCGGAGATGCAGCTGGCGCAAGACTTCGCCGAGATGTTTGCGGAGCGGGATGCAGAGGATGCGGCGGCGGCAGCGGCGGCGGAGGCGGCGGCGGCGGCAGATGCGGAGGCAGAGGTGAAGATGCAGGTGGATATGGATGATATGGACAATGGAATCTTGTAAAAGGTGCGGTGGTTTGTTTGGTTTGTTGTACGATACCTGGCACGAGATGGAAATGGATCGCTGTCACTCGAGTGAAAACTCTGCTTTCTGTTTTTCTGATTACTTTCCACGATATAATTCCCACTGACTTTTATGCCTCCTGAAATGTCACAGAAGGAAAAGAGAATGAAAATGAAGCGTTTGTACAGCGAAAAAGGGGGACACTCTAACAAATCGGCCTTCTCGGATCTTGAGCACCTACGCTAAGTAATTATTACTAGTCATAAGACGTATGATTTTTTGCCCTGGCGGAGTATGGTATCTAGAACTGCGGATACAGCTGCTGCGAAAAATCGAGCCCGCCCATCTGGTCGAAGCCCGTCGCCGGATACTCTGTCCCTCATTGTTAGCTTTCGTACTTCTCCAGCCCCGATTTTCTCAGACGGGAGACGGGAGAGAGAGTCGTCTGTCTTACCCCAGAAGATCGAATCGAACAAGTCCATAGGCGACAGGTTCATCGTCTGGTCCGCCGCCTGCGCATCTGATACACCCATCATCATCTGCTGATTATAGTCCATGCTGCCAATGCGTCAGTATAACAGAAAAACCAAGATTAGATGCCACGTGCAACATACGGAGGCATCATCCCGTTCTGCATACTCGCCATCGCAATCGCGGCATTCTGCTGTTCGAACAAGCCCGGGTCGTCCATGCTCCCTCCTCCTCCTGCCGCCGGCGTCACCAACCGGCTCGGCTGCTCAACCACCCACCCATGATCGTAGATATTCTGTAGGGCAACCAGCGCCCTGCTCAATGGCCCACTCAGCTCGATATCCCTATCGCTTCTCGCTGCGGAGCCAGACCCAGACTCAGCCTCAGGACCGCGACTCGTCTGCTCCGTGGCGGCCGTGACGCTCAGCGCGGATATCAAGTTCCCCTGCAGCGACCTCACCTCCGGGTCCGTCTTCGTCTCGCCGAGGATGCCGAGGAGTACGGCTGACGACAGGCCGTGGTAAGTGAAGGCCCAGGAGCGCGTGGGGATCACGGAGAGCGAGTGCATCTTCAGGTACATGCGCACCGTCTCGGCGAGGTTGGCCTTGCACTTCTCGGCCAGCAAGGCCTTCTGGGCGGCGTCCATTCCGGGCCTCTCGCCGCGGCGTAGGGCAGGTCGGCAGAAGACGGAGACGACGAAGGAGGTGTGCAGGATAATGGCGTAGTGCTGGAGGCGGTCCTGCAGCGTTTTGCACTGGCTGGTGGAGCGCAGGCGGGGCACGACTTGCTGGCGAATGTTCTCGACCTCGATACTGTTGGCAATGATCTGGTCGTAGGTCGGGTGCGCGATGGAGTCATTCTTCACGGATTGCAGGATGTTGTAGCAGAGCGTGTACATAGCTTCCGTGTAGGAGAAGCCTTCGGTCAGGGCGGTGGGCGAGAGGGGAGATTGGCAGCGCGTCATGATGGTGATGGGGGAGCGGTCGAAGGAGAGGGAGAGGAGGCTGTCTTGCCAGAGGATTGTCCACCAGAGTTTCCTTCTGGGGAGATCGCTTGCGGCGGGGATGAGTGCCCGTCCTCCTTCGTGGGGTCCGCGATGGAGACCGAGTGCTTGGGCGAGCCTACATGTGAGTCCTAGCAGTGCCCATGATGCTTCGGCTTTCATATCGTTTGCGAGCACGAAACCGAGAATTACCAGCGCTTGTAATGAGTCAAGCGACGGTCGAATCAAGTAATTCGCGAGTCGTAAACAGTGGAATGAAGAATGAACTGCCACGCGTGTCAAAAAATGTATGGTTCCAGCCAGTCCTTCGACGGAAGAATCGGCCTTACCGAAAGCTTGAGAGGTTGCAACTCTCTTGTGATAGGGATGCTCAGTACTGCAAGACACGGGCGGGGGAGTCAGTACTTTCCCGAGTGTGGGAAAGGCGGAACAAGACGTTCATCCCAGTAACGTACTAGTTGGTAGCGACGGCGAGCACAGCAAAGAGCATCCCGAGCCACGCCGATGACACGCCCTTGCTACCGTTTGCAGGGTTTCGTTTCGAGGCACTGCGGTCCTCCAAGTAGATGCAGAGTTTCGACTCGAAATCCTCGACGTCGATGAGCAGGCCCCAGAAGGGCTGGACAATCTGCTTGAAGATGTTGAACATCCTGTATGTATGGTCAACCTTCGATGCCCATGAAGTAGTTGGGCTTCTGTGGTGCTTTCTTACTTCAGTACGTCGCGATCTGAAGGGAGGGAAGCGCCTATATCTTGCCGGATCTTGTCTATATGTTGCGTCGACATGAAAGGGTAGGGAGCAGACGATATCTGCAATCCTAAAATGGGCATGATGTCCTTTCGAATGACATCTTGTTCGCCATCTGCTGTTGTCTCTCCAGCATGGGCCTCCTCACTCAGGAAGGCAGCGATGCTGTTTTGGCCCAGATACCTCGATTCGTTGGGATCCTCCTCGTCTGGATTAGTTAGAGAGTTATAAGCCTCTGACTCGGGATTCGAACCCGAACAAGCCCCGAATCAAGATCAACTGCAACTACAGCGAATCTAACATAGGTATATCTGCTTACCCGTTGTCCGCGGCCAACGGTCTTCATCTTTCTTCGAGCCCTCGCTGCCGGGCGACCTCGGTCTCTTGACTCCGGCGACAGATGCCGGCGACGCTTTCGAGGGATTCTGCTTCGGATTGTACGAGCACAGGCCGGCATGGTCTCTCTTTACGCAGTTCTCACATGGCTGTTGGTTGTCACATTTCACTTTGCGCTGTCTGCAAGGCCAGCACGCCGTGCCTGTGGATGTGTGTTTGTTTAGCCAGCTGGATACCTGATAGAATATACCGGGTACCGATATACCGATATACTGATATACTGATGTATATATAATTTTGGGTCAAGAGCCATTAAGTAGGTACATACCGTAGCGAACCTTGCGGTGCGAATGGATGATCCGGTTGGCCTCGTCCGGTGTCAACTCAACTGGCACTGGGTCATGTGCCTCTGCCTGCAGTGGCACCTCGCTCATGGTATCGGTGCCAGGAGGGCTGACGGTGGTGGGCAGGTGCAGGCTTTCGAGAGAGTTGAAGGGCGGCGGCGTCAACAACAGCTCGAAGTCGGAGAAGAGTCGGTGTTCGTGGTACTGATCGTGGCCGTGGTCGTAGTCACGTTCGCTCGCAATGCGCACCAGCTGGATGTTCGGCATGACTCTCACGTGATGTGCGGGCGGGATTCGGGATTCTATATTCCAATCAAGGTGAAAGTATAAGTAAAAGTTTCCATAAATATCATCGATCGTGGCTTTCAAACCAGATCAGACCGACCAGACCAGACATTGATGATTCTTCATCTTCAAATACAAGGCAACGCGGATTACTGCGGGTGGTGCTGGTCATGACTGACTGATCTTGACGATCTTGACAGGACAGTCAGCTTGCTGCAGAGCTGCAAATTAATCTCACTGGTCATGCACAATTTCAACTGCCTGCCTCGGATGATTCCGACTCGTAATCCTTGCAAAGTCTTGTGTTGCTTAATCGTCGGTCTGCTTGGCTGGGCCTCTCAAGCCCTCTCCCTAGATCTCTCACCTCGGGCTACATATATCTCACATATAAATATCTCAAGCGAGGTCGGATGAGCTCGGAATTTGAGTTCCTATACGGGGGTTACCGGCTGATCGATCTCAGTCCTGTTGGAGTTCTGTTGTACACAATTCTTGGCTTTCCTTTTGTCTCCGGCATGAATTCAAAGTTAACGGACAAGCTTTGAATATCACGTCGATCATTTGTTTGCTCGCTTCATGATTCCCAGAAACAATAGGTTCAGGCCACAGTTCTCCTTATACCTCATATTTCACTGCCCATTTAATGAGCTCTATTTACATTCTTGACAGTGCCGATTTCCTTACGTCCCGTATTGCTGTGTTCACGCTCTGCTGCGTTCACGCCCTGCTGCGTTCACGCTCTGCTGTGTTCACTTCCTCATCAGTTCTTTCCAGCGTAGTACTCAAGGCTAACCCGGAGCTTCTCTCGCAGGTGTCGGATATAATCAGACCTTGTCTCAGTCATAGTAAAGTCACAGTATATCATGTGCATTTGCTTTCTTACATTTTCTGAGTCATGATAACACAGCGCAGACATTGGAAGCATATGTATATATGGGGTCTCATCCCCCTCGCTTTCCGATCCCGAAGAAGCTTCCTTACAAGTATCACCACATCCCAAAATTTCCAGGCCCATCACCCGTCAAGACCTGGCTCAAACTCACCAAGTACCTAAACAAAGATAACACCATCGCTCCATATCATGCCTGAAAAAGAGAGCAAACCTCCCGGCACGAAGCAGACCGCCGGGTCTCAAAAATTTGCCTCATCATCTCGACTTCATCCACCATTACTATCCAACCCAAAGCCCTCTAGCTCTCACCACCCCGCTCAAGACAAAAATCCCGGAAAGATCATTACGCAAGATGGCCAGGTCGGCGACATGACCCGGACTCACATGGAAGGTATGGTCCCTATGACCGGGTACGAAAAGACTACGATAGAAGGAAAGGGCTCTTGCGACCCTGCTGATAAAGAGCCGCAATCTTGCGAGCGCTCTACGCCCGTGACCGTCTTGAAGATCGGTCGCGCGACGGATGAGGAAGAACGACATAACCCTGGCAGTTTTCCAAAACCTCTTTCGAAGTCCAAAACTCAGCAACTATCGAGAATGCCTACAGTTATGGGGGATAGAGCCGGGTCTGCCCAAACACCTCAGCGTCTGAGCTCGAAGGCTGACCGGTCCTCGAAGGATCCGAAATCCGCGGAGGGAGACGGTTCCGTTAAAGTGAAGGAAACCCCTAAAGGTCCTTCGAAATCCACACCCATTCTACAATCAAAAAACCATAAGGATGGGGAACACCCTTCCAAAGATCATCCAATCTCAAAAGGCCTCCAACCGCCACCGGTAGAAAGCCTCAAGCCCCCAAAGCTGCCCCAATCAGCCAAAGCTCCTCCAAACCCAAAGACACACGCACCTCAAAGCGCGGCGACACCTGTCGAGAATGTCGCGCCCCCCAGCTCTCCCCCAGCACCAAAACCCATCTCCACAGCCCCGCCCCGCATCAAAAGCGTCCTAGTCTCCGCCGCCGACCGCAAGATGGCCAGCTTCCAAACCAAGATCGCCACCCTGCCCCCCCCACAGCGCAAAACCCAAGAGACCTGGGCTCAGAGCATCATCGCTCAGACATCCCAGTGCCCGCAGGACTTCAGGTGGGAGCGTCGCGACGACCACGCCGGCTACCAGTGCGCCGGCCGGAATCACTTCGTGTCCGACGAGCTGGTCGCCGAGGGGAAGGGCGGCGTCTACTTCCTCCCCACGGAGTCGCGGTCCGCGCCGGGCAGCTTGAGCTTGAGATGGGGCCCGTACTACCCAGACCGGCCCCAGAGCGGGCGGTACCTGTGGCACGGAGCGGAGCCGAAGGCGGATAGGGTGCTGGATGGATGGGTGAAGAGTGCGAGTGGCGAGACGCGGTGCTTCTACGATACGAAGGCCGGACGCGTGTACGGCCCGCCGAAGACGTTCATTCGACCGGACAGGGATCTGGGGGGCCGGACTGAGGCAGAGGAGTTTCGGCGTATGGTGGCGAAGGATTGGGAGGTGGAGCGTGCTGCTGCTTGGAGGGGGAGTAAGGGTGTCGCGGCTGGAGCTGGAGTGCCATATCCTGGATCGATTCGTGGTTCGGGTCGACTACAACCAGATCGCGGACCGTCCGCATCAGGGCTGCGTCCTTCTGCGCCAAAGGAAGTTTCGAAACCGGCATCTAAACTCCCCAGTAAGCTAGGCGAACAGTGTGAAACCAAACACCACTGATCTCGATATCAAATAACCAAGATGTAGCGTTCCATTCTTATATCATCCTCGAGTCTACCGGGTACGTACCTAAGAATATATCCATCTAGAAGTCTTCAGGTCGCCGATCACCTATTTTTTGCCATAAGAAAAATGCATGACTTACCTTTCTTCCCTCCCCTATGCTACCAACGAAAGCCCTCTACAGTGACAAATATAAATGTGTATCTAATCAGCGTTTAGAATGTGAAAACACGATGCTAACTCCCTACCCTACCCTACCCTACCCAGCCTTTTAAAAATGGTCTGATCTGTCTCAAGCTTTCCACTCTTCCTCCCAGGACCCACATCACGCGAGCACAACACAACAAACAACCAAACCTCAACCCCCTCCCTCCAACACGCAGCACTCAACCAAAATTCGCTACTGAAAAAAAAAAAAAACAAAAAAAACAATTACAGCAATTCAAAAGCCCACTTAATCTCCAATCGTGACACATATAAAGGCAATACTTACACACCCAACACTCTCAATCCCAATCCCAACTTCAAATTTCAGAAGAAAAAAAAACCCCCCCAAAAAAGCCCCAAAAATATAAAAATAAATCATATACACTCGACAGGAATCCAGTAAAAATTCAAAAGCAAAGAGATACTGGATATTAGGTAGTAGTCAAGTGAAGGAAGGGAGGGAAGAGTAGTCAATAGGTAGATAGATAGATAAAACAAAGCAGCTGCTGTGGAATCAGATGAGGTCAGAGAGGATGAGGATCGCAGAAGGGAATGGATGGATGGATGGATGGAGGGATGGAGGGATGGATAGGCTCCAAGATACTCTCGCGTGGCTGATTCGGTGACTTGCTTGGCCCGTCCGGGAACATTTTATGGGTGGCTGGCTCAGCGACAGCCTCGGTTCCAGAAGAGGAAAGAGCGGCGGCGTGGCCCGTGGCTGTTGGAGGAAAACAAAGTCGAGGATTGTTGGACGAGAATCCGAGGATGGTGGGAATTTGTTGTAAGAAGAGGGAGGGATCGAGGTGGCTTGTAGAGAGAGCAAAGACAGAAAAGTCTACAGAATCGAACCTACGCCACGTATATGCACTCATGAAATGCAAGCCAAGCCCGTGCTGCCCGCCCTCGACCTCAACGCCTGACGCACAAACTCCTCCCGTCCCTGCTCCGCTTTCCCTAAATCATCCGCCATAGCATGAACCAAAGAGATGGACCAAAGACATGAGCCAAAAGACATGAGCCAAAGACATAAACCCCCTTTAATCACCACCCTTTTTCTTCCGTCCGCCCCGTCCCTTCTTAACCTTCTTCTCCTCGTCACTACTCTCGCTCTCCTTCTCAGCCTTCTCCTTCCTCTTCTTCCCCTCGCCCCCGGCACCCTCGGCTGCTTCTCCAATCTTGCCCACAATCTCCGCCAAGAAATCGAACTGCTCCGGCGCGCCCAAAACCACGGCCTTCAGGTGTTGCGCCGTCACCTTCTTGCCGCCCTTCTCCTTCGCCTTCTCCGCCGCGCCCCCGACCAACGCAATCATGAACAGCTCGAGCGCCTTGGAAACCGCGACGGGCGTGACTTGCGCGACCTTGCCCACTTCCTCGTCCGCCTGCATGATGCGCTTGATGCGGGCAACGGGGAACTTGGTCTTGATCTCGATATTATGCGGATTGGGGTCCTTGTACGCGGGGGCGTGCTGCATGCTCGCGCTCATGGTCGCGATGCCCGAGACGCGAGAGCCGCGGGCAGACATGGCGGCCTGAGGAGCGGAGGCGAGGAATTCCTGCTTTCGGTCTTCTTGGTATTGGTATTGGTATTGGTCTTGCTCGCCCGAATCGAAGTCCTCGTTGTAGGATGTGATGTTATTTCGGGCCTGGCGCTGCGGGCGCTTCTGGGCTGGTTGGAAGTATTGAGTGTTTAGGGGCTGCTGCTGCTGTTGCTGCTGCTGCTGCTGCTGCTGCTGGCCAGCTAGGGGAGAGAAAGAATGGCTCATTGGGAGCGGAGGTATTGGGGGCATATACTGGGCAGGGCTAGCTCCGTACTCTGCAAGCTCTGTTGCGCCGTCGATAGCGAACGCGTTCGTGTTCTGCGTGTACGCGAGCTGGTTCCAGTTGGGGTTTTGGTATGGTGGTTGGCAGTCGGGACTCGAGAACGCAGTGAGAGCCAGCGAGCACGGCGCATAGGGCGTTGATATGATCGAGTCCGAGCCGAAGTTGCAGCTGTATTTGTAGTTGTAGGGCTGTTGTTGTGTACTTGGAGGGGAAGACATGAAGCTCGAGAGGTCAGGGCTTTGCGGTGCATATGTACTATCCATTTTTCTCCGTCCGGATCGGGAGGCGGTGGGCGTTATGCAAGGCAAGGCTAAATCAATAATAGCAGTGGGGCGGGGAGCGAGGCCGACGAATGTGGCAGTGGAAGCGGAAGCGGGAAGTGGAAGTGGATATGAATGAATATAAAAGTAAATGTGAATGCAAACGTGAATAGAAGTAGTATATGCGAGTATAAATAAGTGTTGTAAGTAAGTCAATACCATCATCTTTTGACCTGGCCTGACCTATTTATCCTGTGCCCTACCTACAGAATACCGTAGGATAGGATAGGATGGGATGGGATGGGATGGGATGGGGATTCTCCGTAAACAAGTCCCTCGACAGTGAAAGCAACCGTGTTCCGCTTAATCGGGGCAAGCCTGACAAGGGCGGTGAAGTTTCGGAACAAAGAGTCTCCAGATCCGCGTAGCCAATGACTGACTGTATGGGGTTGGTCCGGTTGGATCTACGTAGTACGTATCCGGTATGAGGAACCGCAGTGATTGGCCAGTCTGGAGGAGGTGGGGGGAGGCCTGGTGCCTGAGGTATTCGTTCCATGCGTTCCACTTACTTTAATCTCAAACTCATCCCTCAGCGATGGGGAACTGCCCGTTTATATAAATGCGGAGATCCTCCAGGGGGTCGTGCAGGGCTGTGCACGCTTATCCTCATGCGGCTAGGGCTCGCATAAACTAATCTATCCTTGACTTGATCATCTCTCAACTCTTTTTCTCTTACTCATCACTTCAACGAACTCAGCGACTTCATCGACTTCATCGACTTCATCGACTTCATCGACTTCAACGACTCTCACACTTCGAAAGCCATCAAACGCTGGCAATATCGTGAAGACGAGGGCAGTGGCTCTGGACAGCTTCCAGCATCTAATATTATTCCATTTAGTCAGCCGGCTAATCTCTTATATCCGGCGACGTCGCAATGAGGGATTTGATTTGGCTGCTCAATTGTCCTTAACGCGTCATCCTTGCAGTTGTCTATCATCATGATTCCCTTAGCAGCACTATAGCTTCCAGGCACTTATCTATTTCTATGTTATCTCTTACTTACACTCTGGCAAGTCCTGCCCAATCTATTCCGATTCTATTACTTTCACTTTCTTCGATTTCTTTCTTTCCATTCACTCGTTTCCTTCTCCCTCGACCGCAGAGCCTCATCCAGGCACCACCAGTTGAATGATGATAACAAAGAGCCTACCTAAACCACATCTGTCCCACAAGGGCAGCTAGCCCGAGCCCGAAACCTCCACCTCGGTGTGACGGTTCCTACTCGGGGTAGTGTGTTTCATGATGGAAAAATAACTTGATCTAATCTGACAACTGGCTGGACCTGGCTGCATTCTGGCGAGGGGCTGGCCTACATCCTGCTTTCTAATTTTTCGAGATTTTACCGATCGCTGTGTGAAAACTGGCTTTGCGATAAAGAGTATAAGCTGAGGCTCTGCCTTTGGCTGGCTGCGAGTTTAGCCGAGGTGGAACGGGGCGTAGCCTATATTAGATCTCTCTCCTAAGTTGTGCCTGGGAGCGTTCTCGTCGCGGATAACTTCAGAAGCTTTAGCTGGCGACATTTGGCCGGAAGGAGTCGAATTAAATCGACGTCAGTTTGTAAAGAAGATAGACTTGCTACTCTGGTGCCTTGAAGCCCGGAATGGGTTCTCCTCCAAGAGCAAGCCTGTATCTACATACCAAGACCAACCCACAAGACCTACCTAACGACAACGATATTGTAAATGACAGCAATCACCCAAGGATTATCTCACCATGTATATGATCAGAGTCTGGACCACAGCGTGCTCAGAAGAATCCAGCAGCGGTATATTGCTAGCGACTCAAACCAGTGTTGGCCTCATCCCGCCCGACTCTTTTTCCCGAGAATTCCATGGATTTGTTATCGCGAGCCTTCTCGTTGATTGTCGCGCGTATTCTGTCCTTATATGACAGCTCTCCTTATATGACAGCTCGCTGCGTCTCAGCGGTCGTGCATACTCTCAATCATTTCAATCTCACGTCAAATCAACCTCGAAGAATCGACGTCACAAGAGCTCACGACTGGCCCCTTCCTATTCCACGCTACGCCTGCCTCCTAAGGTTTTTATGGCACATCGCATCCACTGAGCTTTGGTATAGAATATACGGTGATTTGTTTCCGCACCTGTACCTCCGAGCGAGACGACAGTGAATCTGCCCATACCACTAACTACTATATAATACCCGCGGGCAATACCCTCTCCATCTACTTGACGAGGAGCAAAAAAATGCATGATTTCCCATCCTCAAAAAAGGTATCAAAGCGCCCAAAGATCAGGATACATAACAGCATTCAGGTCTAGCATATCGCCTCTGCACTTAAATCAAGCGAGCGAGCGTATAGCCACGAAATCCCAGCAGCAAATCGTCAGCCATGCTGCCAAAATCCACATAAATCGCCAACTGTTAGTCAGCTATCAAAGTAGCTGCTGCTATCACTCGGACACTTTCGCAACAAGCTAAGAAATCGCCATCTTCACCGCCCTGGCTGTACGGCTACGCCCCTGCCCTTCTCAATCCCAAGAAGAAAGACAGACAGATAGACATATAAACAAAAGTCGCCATCGACCCTGCTCTACTCCCCTCCCGCCTGCTTGGACCCCAGGATCCTTGCTTTACCGATCGACAACTTTCTACCGAAAGACTGGAACCTGCTCTTCACACTTGTGCTCTCCAGTCGATTTGCTTTGTATGCAGTCAGTCGTTACGCCAGCTAAGCTGCATCGCCTCGGAAAAAGTTTCTCTTGTATTTATTTTCACCGGCTCCAGATCTTGCCTTCCTTATCTGTCGTTGATTTTTGATATTTTGGTCTTGTGGTCTTACGTACCTGCTCTTTTGGCGTGGGATTGGAGATGGGAGAATCTGCTTTATTTCTCGTACTTGACCTTCAAGCCGACCTATTCCTAGTGTTGTACTTTTCCGTGTCATGCTGACGCGATTGCCGCATCTAATCCTCTATAGTTGTTTACTTACAAACGTGCACATCCTTTTGTATTGCTACGACAATATCGTTGATAATATTTCCGAATTTTTTTATTAAAAAAAAATTGATTGATTGCATCAAAGTAAATATTGCTAATTTATAAAAGAATGATAGAAAAATGTTCATGTCGATTTTGCAACGCCCGTTTTGGGAGTGATCGGTGTAGCGCACTCACTCGCACGTAGGTAGATAGGAACCAGAGAGAGAGAGAGAGAGAGAGAAGAGTAGTAGCCAAACATCTTTCCCTCATCAGCTGCCAGCACACGATTCTATCCAAATCTAGCACCAAAAGAAAAAAAAAAGTAAAAAAAAAGTAAAGAAAAGAAAAGAAAAAAGGCAAAAATAAACACCAGATAGCGGAAACAAAAAAAAAAGTAAATCAAACCCTTCCTCTCCAAACCCGCAACTCACCTCAAAAAGACCGCCTGCCCTTAGCCCCTCTCCCATCTGCTCAACAAGAAAAATCTTTCCCCTCGGAATCTCCCCCCTATACCCACGACGCAAGCTTCTTGCTCCCTCTTTCCTAATCAGCTCCCCGTTCAGCTCTCTCTGTAGTGTTTAAATTCAATCATCTGAAAACGACCTCGAGGCTGCCTCCTACCAAACAACAGCAGCAAAAACAACAACATCCCCCCAAACCCTCCCCCAAACCCTCCCCCTCTAAAAAAAGAACATCTGTATCTAACCATCTTCCAAATCCCACTACTGAGCAACAAATTTCCCGTCCAAGATATATACGCAATAGCGAGAGACATACCCACCCAGCTCATCGGTAGTATTGACTATTGACTATCTACCATCTACTATTCCGATGCCCATCTCTAGCTATATACACATAAATAAATACATAATTCTCAAGCTCATCCCTTCCTTCCTACCTCCCTCTCACGCCCCAAGTAACCCTCTCCTCCATCCATCCATCCATCCATCCATCCATCCATCCATCCATCCATCCATCCCTCCATCCATCCATCCATCCCAATCCTGCAAATCCTGCAAAGCTACTCCCACAGCAGATATGCAACTACTCGGGAAGAAGCAGAAGAAGAACGAAGACGAGGGGCCCAAAAATTCCAAGTTGGAAGACGTAGCTTTGCAGGAAAATTGAAAATAATAGAAGCCAAATGAAAAATCGAAGTCGATAAAATTCTGACAGGTGTTGGTTTTGAACATAGCATCTGCCCATTTCCCACAGCGTGATCTACCCTCTCGCTTCTTGACCCTTCTTGACCGAGCACGAATAGGGGTAATGTTTCGCTTTTTTTAGGCCAAGATCAACGATGCTGCGACTGTAAGAGCCGCAATGCTTCTGATATCGTTAGGAGATTGAATGAGTTGGGCTTCAAGCACGAATTATTCCTAGAGACAAGATATCCTAGTAACTCGATTCCAAGGCTATGGAGATTAACCTAACACGATAAATCCATATCTATGTCAACCAATTCCCTAATCAGCCCTCACATGATCACATGCAGCTCGATTCTGGGCCCTCGGCTAAGGAGTACTGTTTGGAAGGAACGACAGCGGGCTTCGGTGGCTCGTCTTTCACTGACGAACGTGGTGGAAACTGGACTTCGGTTGTGCCGAAAGGCTCGTATGCAGCTCCGGTCCAGACTCGATCCACTATACTTGGACTTGGAGCCACAGAAGCATCGTGCGACATTGTTCCGTCAGAGCCGGGATCTGAACTCTCTAAGCTTTTAAGCGTGGTGTAGATCTGCTGTAGGATCATCGGGTCGTTCCAACACTCTTCTATGAGCTGAGCTGAGCTGACAAGACTCGGAATTGGAGGATATTGAGGCTCGGGGATGTGAAGGCTGGACGACCTGTACAGCTCAGGAGAGGGCGACAGGCTTCCGAACTCCGTATCCTTGCAATCACTACCGTTTTTGTAACGGGTGCTGATCTCTATCCCCAAGCATCAGCAGGGCAATAACAACGAGAAAGGGATGTTCAGAGAGGATTGGCTCACCTGGGAGATAGAATTCTCTATGTCTAGCAAGGAGATGTTTCCTCAGAACTTCTGGCCGTCCTGCTCCTTTGAAATTGCAACCTTTGAAATTGCAGAACAGCTTTGATTCTCGGTGTGTGTTACGTTCGTGTCTCAACAGATCGGCATGACGACTGAACGTTGTTCCGCACGAAGGAGCCGGACAGGCCCATCGCCGAGTTGGAGGCTATTAGTGGCATTAGATTTGCGTCTTCCCATGAGAACAGAAAGGAGCTAAAGTGATCCGGCTTACAGGCATTGGGGTACTGTTGTTCGGGTCACAATCCAAAGCAGGAGGCATTCGAAAGATGGAGTGAGTTCGTTTCGCAAAGCGTCGGTGGCCGGATTCCAACAACAGCCGTGGCTCGAGGAGAAACTTCTGCAGGAGATAAAAGAATTATCGAGGGTTTTTGGCCAGTTGGTTTGATCGAGGGTCTTTATTTGCGAGAGGAGAGATAACAGGAGCGGATCCTTATGGGACTCGTCCGAGTAGTTGGAACGACAGGAATGACTTCCTCAATCCTAGACACCCCCGCGTACTCCTGTTATGGCAAACAACTGACACTGTCTCCGGTCTAGGGCTCTCGACGTCCTTGGGCAATTCCTAGGGTAATGTGATAGACTGAAGCGGGGGAAAAAGTATATCGGGAGGTGTCGAGAAAAAGCACCCTGGACTCTACAACCGGCAGTTCTATCAGCTTCGGATGGCAGATACTACAAGTCTTCAGGTGGTTAGGGTTAAGCTCGATTATAATGGCCATGCAATGTATCTTTGAAGGCTCTTCATCTTTGACCTATATGTCCTGGGATTTGAATCCAGCTTCGGGAGGAAGAAGTTGTTTGCGAAGAGTCGAGTTGAGACGGAGGAAGACTTCCTGTGAACAATCAACCTAGAAAATCTGCGAGCTACCCAGAGTGGTATAGCAGATTCAAAGAAAGCATGCCAGCGCGTATTTGTTGCCAGCTGCTTCTTATGAGTGGGTATGTTTCTGCAGCTCGTCGCATGAAGCCGGTCTGGACCAGATGCGGTACGCTATCATGGCCGGGGCCTCGATCCCGGTCTGGATGTATTGAAGGGCATTGACAGCTTCGGTCTGTCCTGTTGATCCGATGTATCATGTGGCTCTTGATGAGTTGTTGATGCAAGAAGATGGGGGAGGTTTGAAAGAAACAGGATTTTGGCCAGGCAGGCACAATGGGACGGACATCTGGCCCGCAAGCCCTCCCGAGTCCCCGTCTGGCCACTTGCACCAGTACTGGTAGAACACACACCAAAGCTTAGAGCCCGGCTTTGTTACTACGCTACCAGAGCGTCGAAAGGCATCTGCCGGCACAAGGCTGATAACGCTCGACATTTATGGTGGAGAGTTCCAAAAGATCAAACTCTGCACATGGCTGGCTCTGGATTCATTACAGAGGAAGCGATGATTACAGAGGAAACGATGGTTAAAGAGGAAGCGATGAACACTTAAACTCTGGCTTCATATGTGTAGACCTCAAGGAGGTACTGAAACAGATCGCAGTTAGGAAGTGACTCGGTGAAGAAAACGACGTGATGGATTGTAGACATTCTGGACCGCGAGAACTAAGGCCAGCAGTTCACCAATAGGATACAATATGAGATACATCCGCGGAAGAGTAGCTTTCTACTGCATGCAGCATGTACCGGTATCTGCAGCATTTAGAAAAGGCATGCAAATTTTAACCCCCAGCGAGAGTGATAGGATGGTTTTTTAGCCAGGGACGACATGACTTCTGCATTCTGAGAGAAGGCATCACCTCAGGCGTTGTACTGTAGAATCATACACCAGCAGCTCCCTTCAATTATGTTTGCTTTTTTACAGCCATATGTACTCCACTTCGATGCTCAAGATTTCACCAGGGCCGGACCCGAGCCCGAGCCGAATCTCACGATGCGCATGACCGAACACATAACAAGAAGCCGAAACGCAGCCTGGCTGCGGAAGAATGACATGGCATGATCAGAGGATGGTTATATTACACATTTCTCTTGCGTGTTGAAGACGACGTTTGCCGGGCAGCCAGGTCTGACTTTAACCTCTGCCCAGCGCTACTGACCACCTGTCGGGAGCATACCCTGCAGAGCAAGTCTGAAGTTTATATATATATATAGTACACGAGCTAGGCAAACCACCTGGAGGGATTCTGATAAATGAAAATTCCGACTCAACAAAATTGATCAAATATGTGCAGCCGTGGGAGCGAGAAGAGGTTGGCATCACCTAAGCATCATCATCTGATTTCGCGGCAAGACCCGTTCAGAAACGTGTTGACCTGTGGCCCAAGAGCTAGTAAAGGCTGTTTGCATCATAATCGCCTGAGCTAAAGGAAGAATATGTGGAATCGTACATAACCTCGTGTGCCGTGGAGCCCCTGAATTCTGTCGCTTACGTACCTGGTCAGGCAACTCGAGTGCGCGGCGTGCGACTCAGCTCCGTAATTCCAGAACTTTCTCGGAAAGAATTAGAGCTTGATATTCGCGAATAAGCAGCAATTGATTGGCGCCAGATCGGCGAGTCAGTTTAAGCGAGTAAATATCAACAAGGAATCCCTGTCCATCTCCTCCACTTAAAAAGATATATCACATTAGATTTTCATGATGAATTCAGAAAGAGATAATTGACAGGCTTGGCTGAGGATGTTCTGATTTGTCGAATATACTCCGTACACCAATTTGAGTCCGCGCTTCCCGTCTCCTTTTTTTATCAAGTAAGATGGAAGGAGCTGCTCTGTGAGCCTTGGGAATATCATTCAAGGCTTGGGAATTTAAAGTCCCATCTGCCACTTTGGGGAGCTTGGCACCTGATCTCATCCTAAAGAGAACACAAGATGCTACAATAGAGCGTGTTGAAAATTCAAAAGAGAAAAGGTTTTAGTTTTCGAGTAAAAACTGCCCTCCTTGAAATCACTTTATAGGCTGCATGATACCAAAAGGCTTTTGCTTGACAGCCGGGGAAAGCAAATATTTCTTCCTTTGACTGATCCTCTTTGGAACTTACCTCGTTTTTTTTATTGTATTTTGCCTCTCTCAATTGGACGACGCGATCTGCCCGTGCAGAATGGGCTGATAGTACCAAGGGGAAGGCTTTTTCCAGTCGATGATTGGCTGGAATTTTAGCTGTGAAGAGTCCATTGTGTCGTGTACGTAAACCGGAGAATCCGTAAGTACGTAACTTCTTTAGAATTGAGGTTAGATGGGTATAACACTCTCAGTATGAGACATCTGGACCTTACATGTCCATTGTACTCGCTTTCAGATCGTGGCAGATAAGCCCGATCTCTTGATAGTAACTTCAATCAGAGATATCGGAAGGCAAGTACCTAGGTCACCATGCTCGTACGAAAAGGTTCCTGAAAAATCCTGCTATTGAGTAAGTCAAAAATTGATAGTCGGCCACCTAACGGGGTCCCAACGGATCCACTAGATTCAGCAGATATTCCTCAACCATTCAGGCTTTGTAAACAGCTCCCCGTACTGCCCCCTCCACGCCGCTCTGCTCTGATCTGGCAAGTCCTGGAAAGCTGGCTTTCGCTATAGAATTTCAACCAATCTCCTCTGACAAGCATCCAACGTAGCAAAACTTCAAGTGTTGAGAGTACTACTCCATCTTTTAGACAGGTTCTAAGTAGCCCAACCCTTAATGATCCTCAATATCGTTATGATGCTAACTTCTCTCTGAGAAAGCAGAAGCAAGATAGCATATCTACCTCTCCCTCCCATCTCCCAACTCGATCTCACCTATCCTTTGCAGAATACAAAAGTACCTGCATATATTATTATCGCTATACAAGGCCAATTAGAGAGGCGGTACCTAGCTGAACACCTGAACACAGTTAGGTGGCTGCACTGCGGCAATTTTTTCGCGCCGATGTCTGTGACACAATTGCGGACCACATCTTTACGAACACAATCTAATACAAGCCCAAAAGCCAACCAACCAGTGGCATAAGTCTGCAAATAACGTGGATATGCTCTGCTGCGCCCTGGCTTTGTCATTAGCAACCCGCTCTCCTCCTGCCGTTGACCAGCTGTCTTTTTCTAAAGGTCATCTTTGAAGTACGGGCACTGGCGCTGCCAAAATATCCAGAAAATCAGTAAGCTCATTCCTCCCCCTGTTCCAGCTTGTTGTCTGATACTACTAAGCCAGGGTGAATTTTCTTGCTCAGTACCCTCTCACACAAGACACGGTCTTGCTTTGGTCTGCGTCGGAAGCAAGCGCAGTGAGAAAGTCTCTTCGAAATTATCGGCAACCTCAAATTTCATTGTACCTTTCTACCCGGATATCTCTCCATCACTCACATCAACGATACACTCAACGCTCTAATGATCATATAGAGGAGCGAAGGGCCCTACAACTTCTTCTGCCGACCGCAGCCCACCCACGAATATAACAAACGAAGAGGCGGATCCGAGGCGATGAAGCACGGGCTGGTTAGAAAGGTTTCGCTTCCAAGACCGGTCCTATCAGGTCTTGTAATATAAGTAGCACCGACAACAAGGGGACTCTCAAGCGCACTCTTTACTAGTTGTACGCAGCCAGCCAGTCCATAATAATAGAGAACCATCTTGAGACTGGATATCCAGGATATGTTGAAATCAGACTTCATATGCCTCTGCAAGTCCTTCAACTCCACCACCCCTTTTATCTCGGACCTCGTCAAGAATATACGTGCATGGCACAGAGGACTCGCCTTCCCCAGCATCCCCATCTCCAATCTAACCAAGCGCGCAGGGAGAGAGCCGAGATTGACCTCTTTGATTAGAGCCCGTCTTCGGTCCCAGTATTTTCGCTGCACCAGATGTTCGCAGCCTCCTCAATACCAGCAGCGATTAATTGTTGCCCAAAGTTCTCTGTTTTGGAGTAAGAAAGGCTTCTCGATATGTATTCCATCCACCACACACGAGACAGGTGCTTGAGCGCAGACTGCCAGCCTGGAAGGAAGAACATGTAAATTTTCCCGGCAAGAGCTGAGTACTCGTCCCTTTGAACTGTGGCTCATTTGGCCGTGAGCCGTTGAGACCAATAATTTAGTTCCCTGTACCATTTACATAACAGGCGACTTTCCGTAGTCTCGGTTGAGAACGATGCTCATGATTCCAAGTGGGCCGTTATGAAGTCTCCTGTTCGTAAGAATGGGCTTGTTTTCGAGTGTCGACAAGGATCACCTCCATAGAGAGATTCGTATGGACAACCTAACGGTGAGGAGTGTTGTGGGTACCGAAAGGAATGATCTAGGCATATCGCGAGGATCGCCATGAGTGGAAGGCCAGGCATTGGACGAAAGGGCACGGAGGGGAGAACCCTTTTAGGGATGCATCGGCAATTATGGACGTATCGATACCAGATTTCCTATGGATGCTGCGAGTCGTCTGAATTTAAAGATATAATGCATGAGCAAGACGGTAAGGTCAGTTGATTGCCCCATTGGAGCTTCTTGAGCGTTTCACTCGGGTATCTGGTGATTTACCCCAAGAAAACACTGTTGATCACCTGGAGCTCACCAACTATTGAAGCGGCCGGAAGTTAGTTTTATCGTATAATACGCTGGACAGCTGAGACTGGTGTTCGGCAGAGAAACCTTAAATGCTAGCCTTATTTCACACATTCCTGTGCCACCCTATCATCGTCTGCCAAAAGCCTTCCCAAAAGGCCTCCTGCTCGGCTCCGCCTTTCTCCCCGACCGCCCCTGCAGCCATTTCTCCTTTACTGACTTTGCTTGGAAGTCTACCTTCGGCGCTAGACTCATTTCTCCTGATTTGGCAACACGATACGTCGTACGACCCACACGCTTATCCTTCGGTGCCTTTGCCTCCAGGAACTTCGTCTTCTTAGGCTTCGGGCGGTCGGCCTTCTCGGTGGAGATCATGAGGTCTTGGGGTTCACTATCTTCTAGGTATTCGGCTGGGAGAAACTCAGGGAGGGTAGAGCGGCTTGTGAGGCGCGGCTGGTCGAAGGCTGGTGGGGGTTCCATAGGTTGTTCTTGATCGGGAATTTCGCTGTCCGAATGGGGTACTGGCTTGAGAGCAGTTTCTAGCTTGCGCTTTTTGCCCGTTTCTGACTGCTTTTTCAGAATCTCGTCGCGTTCCTTGCGCTTTTTGCGCGTTGCGGATATTTGCCTAGAGAGATTTTAGATGTTTGATTTGCTGACGAACGAGAAGGGTGCTTACTCTTTAACAGCTTTTGCTGTACTTCTCTCCTTGGATTTGACCTCTTCAGCTGCCTGCTGTATACCAATTGCCTCGGGCGCATCGTCCTCGCTGTCTTCTTCCTCCTCGCTGTCCGCGATCTCTTCTGGTATCTCTCTTGCCGTGGAAAAGAGCTCTGGCCCTGGCTCCTCGCTATCGAATCGCTTGTGGGTCTTCTGCGTATCGATTTTGACCTCCTCTTTGGCAGGCTCTTTACCCACATTCTTCTCTACTATGTCCACCTCATCTGCGGAAACATCCTCAGAGTCATCCTCAATTTCAATAGGCTTCGCTGGGGTTCCTGCGTTGTCCTCCAGCTTCGGAGTAGCCTTCCTCGCAGGAATTTCCACCAATAGTCTCGACATCGAAACTGCGGGCTTAACCTTCTCCCTCACCGGCAAGATCTTCCGTTTCTTCGCACTCGGCGTACCCTCATCCTCCATGTTAACATCTCCAGCCGGCGCTCGCTGCGAGCGCTTCTTACTGGTCGAAGAAATATGAACATTTATCGTGTTATCGTCGGTGAGTACCTTCTCGACTTTACGAGTCTGCGAGCGGGATGTAACCATCGTTTTGGGTGTGCGGCGCTTCGGCGTGGTCTCGAAGGCTGGGTTCTGCGGAGTATCGATTAATAAGGCTCTCGCAGATCTGTAAATTCGGGAGAACATGGGTGGACAGTAGAGATTTTTCTTTAAGCTGTTAGTGGCAGAAGAATTTGGAAGCTGGAAATAAATTCTCTTGCAGTATCTCCAGTTGCCGGCGCTAGATGTAGGGCGGTGAAGAAGGCTTGGCATTAAATCGACGTCCAGAATCTGGCCATCTTGAATATACATTTCACACAACCGAGGGGTTGCGGTTTCTTTTTAACTCTGCTTCCTTGCTTGACACCAGCCATTCAGAGTAACATAAATTTTTGTTTTCGATATTTTGGTCTTGTAACTTGAAAGGACCCGATTCCCACGTTCACTATGTACAAAGTCAGACCAGCAGCCACTTTGGCGAGCCTTCGGAAAGCAAGAATTGCAGCACCAGAAGTCGAGAGAATTTGCAAATCTATTATCTCAAGAAGGCTTCACGTATATCCGCCGAAGAAAGCAGCGGCCAGATCCCCCCGAGTGGCTGCCAAGGAACGGGCAGCAAATGGGACCTCAAGGACAGTCCGAGTAAAGAAATCGTATGGCGCCGAGGAGTGTTTACCACCACTCGCCCTCTTGAACTCCGCTCACAAATCCGGGGCTCTTGGTGTCACTCCAGAGCAAGCTTTGGATTTCCTCCGAGGGTGGCAAGAACGGGCTGCCGCTTCAGGCTTAGGGTGGGAGCAGGAATTATGTTCCAGTGAGCGAAAATTGTGTCTATGCTATCCACCGACTGACGTTTATCAGAGCATAGTATCACACCCTCGACTGTAGTCTTGCTTGCTCGCATAGTAGGAAAATGTGAAGGCAAAGGCCAGAAACTCTTTGGTAAAGAACTCATGTACGCGGCATCAGCCATGGGCGAGAGATCAGCTACCTTCTCTATTGTCTCCACTGCCCTTCGCTCTGGTAGAGCTACAGACCTTGAAATAAGAGGTCCGTTACAGCAAGTTGGACTCCTTGCCAAGAAGGAGAAGGATCCCCAAGCTATGGCTCTGCTAGGGCAGGTGCTCTTTTCGCAAAGAGCCGATAATGAGGCTCTAGATTGGTTTGGGAAGGCAACTTCCAGTGGGGCGTTGGATTTTGACGGCGCGGGGGAAGCACTAGTCACCAAAGGAAGAATTCTGCTGTCACGGAAAGACATGGAGGGTGCGACAGAGGCTTTCAAGAATGCCGCGCTGAAACTGGATGATCCGACGGCTTACTTTTATCTCTCACAATTGGAGGATTCAAATTCTCAAAATCAGCAAGTCTATCTTCTGAAAGCTGCTACTTCAGGGGTGCTAGAAGCCTGGCACAATCTTGGAGTTCTCGAATTGTCGAAGATAGACAAGCGTCCAAAAAGACCTATTTCGTTAGAAGATTACGAAATGGCGAGAGAGTGGTTCCAGGTTGCGGCTGCTGACGGGTATGGATTGAGTATGCTGAATTTGGCTTCGATATATAAAGCTGTTGGCCAGCGAGATGAGGGGCTGAGATGGTTGGAGAAGGCCGAGAACGTTGTTGGCGTTAGCGAACAGGCCCGAGAGATGAAAAGTCAATGGGCTATGGAGAATCAAGTGAGCGGCTGAAAGAGTGGAGTCACCATGCAAAACTAACGTTACTGGCTGCCTCCACAATTTGTGTAAGATACGAGAGCCTATTACACCAATCTTCCATTGGGCGGAGATGGCGGGCATATTTAAGATGGATCTCCAAGTCTTCTTGCACCCCACCCCTTTCAGCATGGGCTACACGTGACTATTTTCTGGAATCCAAGATATATTGCCTACCGATATATGGCCGGGTAATCAGCCATACAACTAAGCTTAAGATACGGGAATAAATTTTCGCGATTTAAATCTGCACGCATCTTTGAATGCTGACAATGATTGTCCGATGCTTCAACATTCAGCGCCTTAGCGCTGCTGCCAGAAGCTGCGGCTAGCTCGCGAGTCGCAAGACAAGTTGTCCACCCCTTCTGTTGATAAACTTACTTGATCTCATGATTTGATACTCCCACTAGTATCTGAGCTCGAAGGGTACAAATATCTTCGTCTGTGTTTTGGGGTAATGATTGGATTGGGTGAACGAGTCGAAGTATGAGAGCTAGGCTACTATATCACCTATAAAGACTGGCGGAAGATAAAATTATGAGAGAACCTAAGCTCCAAGATAGAATCACGACAAAACACAACCTCTCCGGCATAATCACGCCCGCATGTAGCTTGGACGGCGGCGGTACGTGTGAAGTGGTGGTTTGTTATGATTCGTTAAGCGAGCGTGCCCCTGAATAAAGACTTGGCGATGCTAACACAGCTCAACTCCTTGGCGTCCGCATTGTACAGGTATATAATATATTTGCGTCCCCTCAAGCTCTTCCTGCTGTACTAATCCAAACTTCCTAGACTTGGAGATATAGTATGGGTATGTCGAGACTCAGCACGTCGATCCCTCGCAAGAATCCGCGAGCTTGATCCCCCAAGTGAGTTTGAGACTAGTAAGCCCTCTCTTTCTGATAACAAGCATAAGTGCCCATCATTAGCAGGAGTTTCTGCCATTGGCTTCAATAATTTTCGAAGGGATGGAAGGACTGACGGGGTACCGGTCGCTTGCATAGAATACCTTCTCGTACGGCGTTCTCAGTATCTTGTATAAGCTTGGTGCAGTCGATATGACAGGCCAGATAACTGATATTAGCAAAGATATTACGCAACTTCCGATAGATATCTACTCTGATTTAGTCCTTTTGAAAAGCAAACAGTACAGCCGTCAAGAGGAGATACTTTCTCTTATCTCGATAATGCAAGCCTCTAAGGGAGGGAGTCAAGTGTTTACTAAAGCAACTACTCCCGACATGAAAAAAACAGCTAAGGAGTGTAGAGGCCGAGTTCCGTCATCCTACTAGCGATCATCTCACACTCTTCAATTTCTATCAAGCATGGAGATCTTGCGACCCCAGCAGCTAAGATGGTTTTTTGCGTGAGAACATATTGCTTGGCAGTGTTCTAGAGTCAGCCGACTACACACCCAAAAAGTTGCTCACAATCTTAGCTCGAGGTTCATAAAAGTCTACTCGTATGCTTCCAAGAAATCCACAGTACTACGTCCTTATGCTGGTGTCCCTAGCTGCAAGTAACTTCTTACGAGTAGCCCACTCGGAGGCTCGAGAGTACCGCATTCTTAGCACTAGCACTCTTATCACGCTGGCAGAAGACACAGATCTTAGCAACATGCCATCCGAACTCTAAAACTAAGTGATCTATAACGAGTTTAGCACGGAACTCAAGTTGGAAATTCGACTTGTTTCGGCGATTTCACCTAAGCTTCTAGTCCTTGCGGCGCCTGGATACCAGTGTGATCTTGATGATTTGCTAAGTTCTCTTAGCAAAGATGCAATAACCAAGGAACTAGCCAACGTCGTCAAGAGGAACGAAAGCGCTATTCATAAGGGTATGCCTAGGCTTACTGCTCTTACAACGACGTAATCACATCCTCCGACCTGCGGTTTCGATCATCAGTTTCTGATGTACTCGCTTTTAACATTCAGTCTCCAACCCTTTTCCCTACTTTCTTTTGACGTTCAGTCTTCAGCCCCTTTTCTCTACTTGCTTTTGACGTTCAGCCTCTAAACGGGTGCCACGAATGAAATGCGAGGGGGCCCAAAAACCAGCGATTTGTATACTGGTGACGCACCATATCGACAGATGCCCCTTGGTCGTTTGACAATACTCAAGATGAAGAAACCGGACCTTCGTCGGTAGAGACTCACAAGTCAATAAGATTCTGCCGAGGATATGAGCGAGGATCGCGGCGAGCTTCAGCTTCGAAGAACGCGAACGGTCTGGTGACATGGGCAAGATAAAACTGCCGACAAAACCAGGCTCGCGAATTTCACTCTCCTCGATTCGTCCTTCGTGGCGTCTCGTGGCTGATACGGGTCCAGACTGTTGGTGGGTTGTCGACGCGCGATTATGCGCCTCGATGGCTTCGTGATCCACCCCCGCTTCCCCAGATTTCCAGAATTTGGGCGAACGCCTCTGAAAATTTCAGCTTGAGGTCGCGTTCCGGGTCTCATGAGCCCATGGCTACCAATCAGAATCGAATAAAAAAAAAACAGCCTAGGCTGCGCAGGCCAGCAGGCCTTACCAGTAGGTAGGTGTAACATCAATCCAAGTACGACCAACCACAATCACAACTTCCTCGTCGTCTTACGTGACAACATCTTTATGTACATCTGTATAAGTTACACTATACTCCCATTCCTCTCATGTATTCCATCTCGGCATCAGAACATCTTCTCCATCCTTCTGCGGATTGGTGCCTTTCTCAACTCAGATCCTAGCTACTAGCATCCATCTCTTCACCATGGCGGACGAGCGCAAGACATCGATCATGGGAGTCGATTCTCGCGGGGACAATGTACTAAGAGTCTTGGATACGGATGTCCGCAAGATGAGCGTCATCAACCCGGAACTCGCTGTGCGTAGTGCCATCCAGGAGCTGCGACAGTGTGGAATTGGATCTTGCCGCTGACCAGCCGAATCCGTAGGAGCAAAACAGCAACGCGCGCTCTGCTACTGATCGCGAGCACAACATGACGATCAGACAATGCTTCCGCCTCTACCCGAAGGCGATCGCATTCTCTCTCATCTTCTCGACGGCGATCATCATGGAAGGTTACGATACAGCTCTTCTGGGCTCCTTCTACGGATTTAAGCCGTAGGTGCTCCCACCTAAAGCGTCGCAGGGCGCCCCCCTCTGACCCGGGCTTCAGATTCCGCAACAGGTTTGGAGACCAGCCGGATACAAGTCCGGATGCGATGCCGGGTGATATGGTGGTGAGCTCCAAGTGGCAGACTTCCATCGGCGCTGCGGGACAGTGCGGTCAGATCCTCGGCTTGTATTGCAACGGTTACATCTCCGACAAGATCGGATACAAGAAGACCATGTTCGTCTCTCTGATAGTGATGATCGGGATGATCTTCATTCCCTTCTTTTCGACAAACATCGAAACCTTCTTGGTCGGTGCTGTCATGCAGGGTATTCCGTGGGGAGTTTTCCAGACGTGTACGTCAAGCCCATGGACGATAGGAGTTCAACCTGGGCAGTACTGACGAGTCCGTAGTGACGACCACTTATGCATCTGAAGTCGCTCCTGTCAAGATCCGAGCTTACCTTACTACATATGTGAACCTGTGCTGGGTGTTCGGTCAACTGATTGCCGCTGGCATTCTCAAGGGACTGCTGAATGGAACCACTCAGTGGGCGTATAAGATCCCTTTCGCCATCCAATGGGTCTGGCCTCCTCTGATTCTCATCGGCTGCTGGTTCGCCCCCGAATCCCCTTGGTGGCTCGTCCGAAAGGGTCGCCTCGAGGACGCCAAGAAGTCCCTTCTCCGTCTCACGTCCCAAGGCTCCGGTGTGGACTTCAACGTCCACGACCAAGTGATGATGATGAAAGCCACCAACGAGCTCGAGATTTCCATGTCGGCCGGTACCCAGTACTGGGATTGCTTCCGCCGGACCGATCTGCGCCGGACCGAAATCTCATCCGTCGCCTGGCTCGCGCAAGCCTTCTGCGGCGCCGTCCTGATCGGCTTCGCCGTCCAAGTCTACGAACGCGCAGGCCTCGACGACTCTCACGCCTTCTCTCTCAACATCGGCCAATCCGGCATGGGCGCCGTGGGGACGATCCTGTCGTGGTTCCTCATGCAGCACGTCGGGCGCCGCAAGATCTACCTCTACGGCCTGGGAGGCATGTTCGCCATCCTCCTCACCATCGGCGGTCTCGGCTTCGCCGACCCGCGCAACACCCGCGCATCCTGGGGCGTCGGCTCCCTCCTCATGGTGTACACCTTCGTCTACGACCTCACCGTCGGCCCCGTCTGCTACTGCCTGGTGGCCGAGATCCCGTCCACGCGCCTCAAGATCAAGACGGTCGTGCTGGCCCGCAACTTCTACAACATCGGCGGCATCATCAACAACGCGATCGTGCCGCCCATGCTCGGCGTCAATGCGTGGAACTGGGGTCCGAAATCGGGTCTCTTCTGGGCCGGCTCTTGCGCCCTCCTGTGGACCTGGTCGTACTTCCGTCTGCCGGAGCCCATGGGCAGGACCTATGGTGAGCTGGACGTGCTCTTCGAGCACAAGGTCTCGGCCCGCAAGTTTGCGACCACCAGAGTCGACCAGTTTGCCGGTGAGCAGACGGGGCTCTTGGGAGGCGATACGGAGAGCATCACAGGCAAGAGTAATTTCAACGAAATGGAGTACAAGTCATGAGCAAATGGGTAAGATGGATTGGGGCCAAGGCTTGCGATGGAAATCTCGAAGAAAAAAAAAAAGCGGTGCTCACTCGTCGTCTAGATCGTCGCTGGGGGTATAGGTAAACCTACAACTCTCCTCCTGCATATAGTCATAACACCGGTACCTACTACCTATACCCCACAATCACCCACACACATCAACACCTCTCCCTCCTCCCGGCCTTGTTGACCTCTCTCTATCCCCCTCTCCTACCACACATCCATGCCCCCCCCCCCCCCTCCAAAAAAAGAATCTGTAGGATCCAGCCGCCGTGCGAAAACAGGCTCGAGAGCATTCGAAACAGCCATGTCCTTCCTTCCTCTTGGAAGACGAAAAAACATCTCGCTTTGACCCCGCCTCCCCCCCCCCCCATTCCGAAGTCGAGTACGGTACCTACTGTAAGCGAAAGTTGAAGAAAAAAAGCTAGCTAGCTAGCTACCTACTAAGTACGGTAGGCCTACCCTACCCTACCCTACCCTACCCTGCATGTTTCATGCGATCCCCCTTTTCGCGGGCGGCCCTACCCGGGAGGTGGTAGTGCCACGCTGGGGTGGCAGCGCGGAGAGGAGCTCCGTATGTAGTATGTGCATGTGCATGTACTACGTAAGAAAGGAGGGGGGGGCGTCGGAAACTTGCACTTGCGGTTGTATCGATTCCTCCAGTCGTAGTGGTAGTTCTAGTGGTACTTGTTGGAAAGGAAGAAGGGCCCAGAGCGCGCCGCCAAGCAGAATAGGCTGGACCTTACTTACCCAACCTCGGCCTCGGCGGCGATCTTCAAAAGAGTAGTAGTACCTAGTAGTTCCGAGTCTAGAGAGCATGTTTTGTTGATTATATTATACTTATGGTTATACTTATACGCATATTTATATCCGCCCGACCAAGACCGTCATTCGTTATACATGGTGTAATGCAAGTCGCCAGATCGCCCCTTTTTTGTCTTTTGTCTAGAGTTGTACCCTCCCTGCCCTGCCTTATACAAATAACTGTTACAAGAATCCATGGTGGATAGCGCGCATTAAATGGGGAAGAAATAGAATTAGAATTACTTTTGGTCTTTCGAGTCCTGGTGTCCGGTCGGATCTAATTTGTTGGGGTGGAGGCGACGGAGGAAGAAGAGCTTGTAGCGAGGAAGCCACTGCAAAGGCCGTCGACGCATGTG